GAATCTCACTCGAGCCACTATTAAACCTATGAACCTTTCTGATCATTCTCTAATTACTATGACTATCGCGCTTCCTTTCCACAACCCTCACTCTCGCATTTGTAAGCTTAACCCTTCCACACTAAAGGACGCTGCTTATGTATCCCAGATTGTGTTGAAACAGAGTATTTTGCACTGAATGTAGGGTCTGGCCCTTCTTTGCTTACACTCTGGAAGGCTCATAAGAGCGTTATGGGGGAAATGTATTCGCATTACAGGCACACCTCCACAAACTGAAGAAGGATCGGTGTGCCTCCTTAATTGCTCATATAGCTTCTCTTGAAGAACTTTATAAACGCTCCCTGGCAGTGACTCATCTTCCTAACCTGACCCATGCCCTCACTGAATTACTTCATCCCATTCATGAAGGCACTACGAGAGCCTTTACTATGCACAATAAGGTTTTTTATGAGCACGGGAACAAGACTGGTATGTTTCTAGCAAGGGCGCTTAAACAACAACAAGCCTCTTGTACCATCTCACAAATCACTGGCCCAGATGGTGTTAGACATGTCACGACTCTGGCGATAGCCCCTTAATTCCAATCCTATTATCAAAAACTGTACAATCTCTGTCCTGCGGGCACCTCCTCTTCTGAAGAAGCGCTTAGATCATCTGTTATTCGCACTTTTCTATCTTGGTTTGGTCCCGAATCCCTTCCACAGATGACTATTGCGGACCTGGAAACTGCTATTACTGCCCAGGAGGTTCAAACCGCTATATCACCACTTAAACCTGGTAAAAGCCCTGGTCCAGACGGAGTTACGCCTTTATTACTACAAGACTATCTCGGATACTCTGGTTCCGTGTTTTCTGTCCGCTTTTGACTCCCTGAGCTCTATGGCACAAACTTCACCCCACCTTCTTGAAATGCATATCACAGTCCTTATGAACACAGATAAAGACCCCCACCCTGTGCACAAACTATCGCCCTATTTCCCTGCTTAACGTAGACGTGAAGCTCCATGCCAAAATACTTGCCAACCATCTTCTGCCTTTCCTTCCTACTTAAATAGATGTTGACCAAGCAGGTTTTGGTCCTGCTAGAGAGTGTAGGGATAACACCAATAAAGCGATCGCCCTCCACCAATGACTTCAAAGTAAGGGTCCAGCCATTTTTTTCCTGTCCACTGATGCAGAGAAGGAGTTCGACAGAGTAGCCTGGGATTACATGTTTGCCTGTTTATGCCAGATAGGTCTTGGTCCCAACATGCTGCCTCGCATTTCCATGCTATACTCTAACCATACCGCGAGAATCCGGGTGAATGGCTCTCTGTCAAACGTCTTCACTATACAAGATGGCACAAGACAAGGCTGCCCTTTGTTACCTCTGCTTTTTGTTTTGTCTTTGGAGCCTTTTCTTCATAAGATCCGTTTGGACCTCAATATACATGGCGTCCTTACTCCATACAAAGAATTCAAACTGAGGGCTTTTGCAGAAGATCTTATTTTCTTTTTAACTCAACCGTTGATATCTCTTCCCAATCTCTTAAATGCTCTTGAAGATATTGCCTCGCTGTCATCTTTCAAGATCAACCTTTCAAAATCTTCTGCTCTTAATATCTCTCTCCCGGATGCCACAGTACATTTTTGCAGATCCCACTTTCCTTTTACCTGGAAAACGTCAACTCTTACCTATTTAGGGATTAAGCTTCTGTCTAATCTAAACAATCTCTACTCTGCAATGAGGCAAGATGGAAAGCCCCAACGGTATTGCACTCCCGCTGACTGTAAAAGTTCTTAGAGCGGTTTGAGGGTTTTATGGTGGGGAAGCTTTTCCCAAGCCAAATACAGGTAAATCTGGATCTTGGCACCATTAAAGTCCATTAAGGAAACCTCTCGTAGTTGTAAGATCGCGTTCTTATCTGAGAAGTAGTGCAGGTGGCACATTAAATCTCTAGGAGTTTCAGAAGAAAGTCCTTGTGGACATAAAGCTCAATGTACTCTGTCGAAGAGCAGAGGGAAGGTGGCCGGTTTGGCGAGGATGGAATTGAAAATTCCTCCCAGCGTGTTGGTGGGGTCCACATCTCTATTTTCCTGGTCTTCCAGTCTATACCATAGGGTGCAGTGGGTCTGTATAACTACTTGGAGCTGTGACTGTAATTAGGTGGTTGCCAGTGCATGTGAATCTAAGCGATTCTCGTGGGTCTTCAACCTTATGTAGCAGATGTATGACCTCACCACGTAGGGAAAGACTGTCCACTTAAGCTGGCCATATACCTATAGATTATCTACAGATTTTTTCTGGTCAGATGGAAAAAGTGCAACATATTCCTCCATCTACGCTAAACTGTGTGGATGGAGGAATCTCCCGCTGGGCCAAGATACAGTATCTTGCTAGTCAGCCCCGCTGGCTGTCCAAATACCTGAACAATCTGATTAAATGCAGGCATTGCTCAGGTATTTAGAGAGCCAGTGTCGCCGACTAGCAAGATACTGCAGCTTGGCCCAGTGGGAGATTCCTCCATCCACACAGTTTAGCGTAGGTCAAGGAATCCATCTGACCAGAGAAAATCTGCAGCTAATCTATAGGGGGTCCACACATGAAAAATAATTTTAAAAACACAATTTTTTTTTTTAAGTCCCCACCCTTACATTCACACATGCAAACATGTGTCAGGTGTGCATATGTGCGAAAACAACGATTGCGCCCATTATGCCGCACATGTTACATATCGCCGCGAACATTGCAGTGAGAGCAATCATGCAATCATTCTAGGGCCATCAATCACTGATAACACTAAACTGTTGAGCGTTAAAAGCTTTTACAGCGTCGCGTATGGTCAATGTTGGGTATGGTAGTTTTTTGCGGGTGCGCGCAATTTTAAAGCTTGACATGTTGGCCAGGAAGGGGGTGTAAACACCTGGTCATCAAGTGGTTAATCAACAAACAGCTGCTGATAAATTCAAGCTGGACTTTGCTAGTCCTGTGTGTGTGTCTCCAGTCAGCCATTTAGTGCAGCCTTTCACAGATATGTTAAGGTGCCCATACACTGCACGATTCTCGTACGAGAATCGCGGGAAATCCTGCCATCGTACAAGAATCGTGCAGTGTGAATGAAGGCGTGCAAACATTTCTACTGTACGGTCGCACGTCTTTTGTCTAAGGAGCATGCTAGAAAACCAGCCGAGAATCGTACGATTTTCGGCTGGTTTTTAGCATGCTCGGGAGACAAATGCCGAAGGGGCCGCTGTGCGCACTCGCACACTGCTCGTTCAGCATTGCGGTCATCGCAAGCCCACCCCTCAGGGGGGCGGGCTTGCGATGATCGCAATTACGATCTGCCTGTCCAAGATCGGCAGATCGTACGTTTTTTAAAAATTACTTTACAACCATCGCAAGAATAAGGTCTTGCGATGGTTGTAAAGTGTATGGCCACCTTTACATGGAGAATTCACTGCAACAGCCCTGCAGTGTTGCACTCTCTGGAATTGCCCTGGATACTGGACTCCACTCTTAGTGCCGTGCCGTACCATGCCATGCTTAGCTGCAGCAATGGCTTGCTTTCTCTGAAGGCTCACCACTGCATTAGGTAACTTTGTGTTAAATTTTGGAGGGGGGTTGCTCCTCAGGACCTTTGCGGCACAGCAGCAAGTTGAATCTTTGTGGGGATCAACCACCAACATTTTGTTCTGTGGCCTCCATTTTTTTTAACCTTTAGTCATTTCTCTACTTTGCATGGAGAGTGTTGACCTTCTTAGGACTAGCTGGTTACATCACAGAGGGGGTGGATTTATGCATGCTTTTCTTGCCCTTTCTACCGCAGTACTTGCCACTTGAAGCAGCTTCTCTCTTTTCCTGCTGCCTAAGGTTCTTGCTTGCTATACAAGTGCACAGGGGCACACAGTACTACTCTGTACACATTCTGCAGGACAATTGTAGCGTGCAGGTCTTGCATATGAGAGTCCTGGCTGTCGTAGACAGTAACATCCAATTGGGCCCTGGGGCCAGCACATCACTGTTTTGGTGGCGTCTCACCCTGGAGCCAACAATAACATTTTCCTTCCCTTGGATGGTTGGCAACCTTCAAGGCTGGAGGTAGATTCCTGGGCATTCACTGCAGTGTTGGCAGTTCTGTTGGACAGATATTCTGAAGTGTCATCTTGTTAGTGTCCTGCTGGACAACTCCATTGCAGTGCATATATGAACATCAAGGAGGGATCCCATAGTCTCTTGGCAATGGTCAAATTCATTCTGACCTGGGCAGAACACCATGTTCCAAGCCCCCTCTGTGGTGTACATTGCTGGCTTTGAGAACTGGAAGGCACACTTTCTCAGCCGGCTAAGCTTGGAACCCAGGGAATGTTAGTTCCACCCATAGATGTTTTAGGACCTCTATCTCTGGGGATTCCTGGGCACACAGTAAACTAAAAATATGTCTTCCACCAGTTTCAGATGCATTCTGTATACAAAGATGTCAGGTTAAGCCCATCCACACCCATTAAAAAAAACCTAGTGTGAACCTCTCATTTTGTCTGCCAAGCCTATGAAATTAAATTGTGTTATGTGTTATGCTAGATCTGAGTCGAAGCAGAAGTTAAGGGCTTTTGTATATAGCATACAACTGAGATAGGGGACTTTTCCCATGTGCAGTAAACAATTTAAAGATTGATGAAGGTGTTTACAGTCATCACTATGTGCTTCTAATTTGGTTGCATCAGTTGCCTATATTTAACCTGACAGGTTCACTTTAACAAAAGAAAAACTCTTACAGGTTGGCTTTTACTGTTACTGGGTATGTAAATTTGATGGTTCAATATCACAATAAAGTGTGGGATATTGTATCAGAATTAATAATTTTCAACCACGCACATGGGAGGAGGTAAAATTATATTTTCAGGTGACCAGAATCTAACAATATAGCGATTGAGAATAAAGATGAAGAACTAAATCCAAGTGGCATGAGCCATACATTAATTTACATACTATAACTGGAATTTATTTTCTTATTTTAATATAGTGTGGTGACTGCACTACAACATGCTATGCTAAGGGACGCTGAAAGTGATGTCTCTTCCTGCAGAATACTCTTAATACAGAGTGCAAGACTCATCCTCTTCAGCCATCCAACTGTGTGTTAGAAGTTCTGTTATCTCTGTCATTGTTGCTACTTCTGGATGCCCATACAGCTTTGGTGTAAAACCTAAATAAAAAGTGTAATTTCTTACTTACAGTGGGGTAGGTTGCAGTAAAGCATGCTTCTGTGTGATCTGTGGGCAAATTAATGTAAGCTTTAATCTTGGTAAACTTGTATTTGTTTTTCCATCTTTGCAATGGTTGTAAATAAAGAGTTCCACCAACCAGCAATGTGTTCAGTTTTTCTTAAGCAATCAATAGAAAAAACTACTTTTTGCTCACACATCCTTTATCAAATACCATATTTTGGTTAAGGACCAAAGCTGCACAACTGGATTTAAGTTCTTCAAGAGGGCAGAAATGCAGAACAGCACTGGTTCTCTCAAGAGTGAGAAAGTGCCCAGGTACAAGCCTTGTCTATCAGATAGATGACCTGAAGTAATCGCAATAGGATGTCGCTTAAAAAAATTTCCTCCGTCCATGACCAGAACAAACCAAATAGCTGACTGGCTTCTCTGGTATTCCTTTTAAAGCTTGCGGCAGGTTGTGTCTTATTTCCATGGCTGTAGCCAGCCCGGATTGCCTTGTATGCGATCCGGGCCGGTAATCAGGCATTGTAGAGGACAGCCCGCTGGGGACCTGCTGAGGACCCCCTTGAGGAGCGAGCAGCCGGCTATTACAGAGCCGCATCTGACGCGGGCGGGCTGACCGGGTGCAGATGGCAGAGATGCAGCGGCGAGGGGACGGTCAGTGACGGGCCCCCTGATGGCCGCGGGCCCTCGGTCCGTGCCCGACTGCCCGAATTGTCAGTCCGCCCCTGGCTGGAGCCACACTTTCTCTTTGCTGAAAGCACACAGGGTTTCTGTACTTGCCTTAGAATCAATTTCTTTGAGTTAATTACGGGACAGACAGAATTCAGTATTTAGAGATAATTGGGTTATACTGCCTTCTTCAAGAGAATTTGGACACTGGCAAGCAAGCTGTTGGCCAGGCAGATATTAACACTCCCCACATGCATCAGTTTTGCAGAAAAGCAGTACCTTTTTTTAAAAGTACCAACAAAACTGTTGGTTATGTGTTTAGATGAAGCACTGAGATCTTGAGGAATGCTTACGTTTTGCTTGCATAGCAGGACATTACATGTATGTATACAGGAATACAGCATAGTAGAGAGGAAAACATATATTCTAATGTATCACAGATAGAAGCATGCATATAGAAAACCTAACATAGGCTAGACTTGCACTACCGCGCCATCTGGTGCTCAAGACAGAACAGTACATCAGAATGTCAGTAATACAATCAGTGTATATTAGCATATGTTGTTGAATTTCCCCCAAAAAACTAGATACAAATCCCACAGGAGTCACATGAGGTTGTACAGGAGGAGACACCCTGTACAAGTTTTAATTTTGGACTTGAATTATAACATTTAACCCTTTCGCTGCCACCAACGTAAGGCATACGGCGGAACAAAAGTGTTCCCGGCTGGCCAGCTCAGTATGCCTTACGTCGGTGGCATTTACAGTTCTGCTATAAGCTCATGGTCGATTTAGCGGCTCACAAGCCGCTGATGACCGCTATTACTGAAAATACCGGGCGCCCCCCCCGCCGGCACCGCTGTTTACCCCAGAGATTTCACCGTATCCCCCCCAACATTAAAAAAAATAAATACAAAATTATTAAAAAATAAATAAAAAAATGTAAAACAAAATATAATGATTTTAAAAAAATAAAAAATGTGTAACAAAAAAAACTAATAAAAAAAAAAGCACAACCCCTCCCTCCCCCCACATAACACACACATGTGGTGCACACCATGCACATGCGCTGCAGTGCGTTGTTAGAACGCATCGCAGTGCATGATCTTTTTTAGTTATGTTTTTTCTTTGAAAAAAAACATTAAATAACTGTGGCAGCGCATGGCAAAGCTTTGTGACTCATTGCCATGCGTTGTGATACCTTGTGTTGCAATTAAATATACACCTGTATCATTTTATCACAACACAAACACCAAAACAATTTTTTACATAAGTCGATTATTTACAGTTTTGCATACCTTCATTTTTTTACTTTTTCACAAAAAGGCGCAATTACAAATTTGCTAATATTTGTTATTTATTAACTCAATACAGTTTTATCTTATTTTATTTTTTGTGCACGGATATTGATTTAAGTGTGTTTTAACAATTGAATTGTGTATTTTTATCGGTTTAATATTAATTTGAGAAACATTTGCGCAATTATCGCAGAGCCTACAAATTTAGTATCACCATCTTTTTGTTCTACCGGGTCTGCGCTTTCAGAAAATATATGGTTTGGGGGGTCTTTTACAAACGCTAGCAACCCAGCAGTTGAAAATCAAATCAATAGGAAAAAATTGCAAAAAATGCAAAAATGGCTTGTCCAGCTGATTTGAAAAATGTTCCGGAGGGCTTGGCAGCGAACGGGTTAAGGTCTTCCTATCCAAAATGGGATTTTGGTTTCCAAAACCTTGAAACCTTTCTGCCATTAGTACAAGGTGAGTGCAGAGATGGGCAGGTTACATAGGTTGAAAAAAAGACACCAGTCCATAGAGTTCAACCAATAGAAAGAGAACAAAACAATAGAAAAACCTCAAAAGTATTATTTAATTTGCTCCACCAGGGGGAAAAAATTGTTTCCTGATCCCCTAAGGCAATTGGATATTCCCTGGGTCAACCATACCGGCTTTGTTTTTGTTTTTTTACTTATAAAATTTTAATATCTAGTTACATTTTGCACATTTAAGAATGCATCAAGATTAAAAAAAATAACTGAGCTAGCCAGAGTTAGTTCCTGAGATAATCAAATAATATTCCGTGCTCAGGACTTCTATAATTGGGCAAAATATAAAGCTGCTATGCTCAAAGCATGATAGCTTTTAAATAGTATAAAATGGTTTTTACACAGCGCTAGATATCTACAGCTCCTTATAGTATATGAATTCCATACATGTGCAAATAATCATTCAACATAAAAAAAGAATGTTATGCACCAATGTTTAGTGTCTCAACCAATCGATTTCAATAGTGCCAGTTCAAAAGTTAAATAAAGTGCATATGTTACATAAAGTGCTATAATCTATAATACCTTCTCTGTATGACAGTCCCATTTAGTCCATCAAAATTCCAAAAAAGACATTAAAAAAAATGACTATCAAGTGCAAAAAATATATAAGAAATATATGAAAGTGATATTGTATTGCAATAATCCCAAATCCAGCCCAATATACAGGGCAAAACACCATGCTCCAAATCAACACTGTGCTTCAACAGGTGATCCTCTCCTTGTGCTGAACCGAACCCCTAAGGTAAACACTCGCCACAATTTTCTGTCAATAAAAGCTCAGTGGTCCCAAACGATCGAGTATCCGACCTCTCTAGTAATCTTTCATGGTCCCAGGGTGATCAGCACTTCAGTCTCCCCAATCATATTCCCGAATCAAGTGGTATCCCACTGATGCTGTTCCAGATTATACGAGGCAGCAGAAGGAGCACATGGTTTTATTGCTGGCTGGGTTTTAAACATGACTGTACACATTTTTTTTAATAAAGCTTTTATGATTGGCTGCACAATGAGCGATTCTATGTATCGTTCTTGATTCGGGAATATGCACCCGCCTGTCCTGTGCTGCCCCTCTACTCCCTACTGCCCCCAAGTCCAGGCCTCGGTGGCCTTGTGGGAAATCAGGCCCTGGATGCAAAGGTCAGCGGATATCCCCCACTTTAGAAAGTGTGGATGCCCCTTCATGTCTGCAGGTTTTGGAGGTTTACAAGTCTATGAGATTGCAGTTGAACTGGGCCCGTGGCTTAGGTCTGGGCTTGGCGTGCGAATTGCGTAAATGTTTATCAAACCAGTATTTTTAGGATAAAATACACTAAAATGGAATTTAGTGCACAGAAACACAATATAATACCCAATTTTGGGGTAAAATATAAAAGATGGGGTCATGTCGGGTAAATAGATACCAAACATGTTAAGCATTAAAATTGCATTCGCCCATGAAGCTGCAAAAAAATTAAATACCCCAAATTTCTTATAGGAGACACTTTAAAAGCTTTTACCAGTCATTAGTTTAGTGCTAACAGTGATTGATTGCCCTAGAATTTCCGCTCTCACTCCGACGTTTGCGGCGATATGGAACATGTGTAGCGCAATTTTGGTTTTTGCACATAGGCACCCTGGCATGTGTTTGTGTATGTATGTGCATGCACATAGGGGGCAGGGGACTTTAAAAAAAAAAATAATTATCTTATATGTTACTTTTATTTAAACAGTGACACCGGAAGTAATGTAATACACATCACTTCTGGGTCCAGTGATCGGTCGAGAGATTAGCTGAATCTCTCTCCAATCATTGCGGGGGGGGGATCCGCTGTGCCGGTCCTGTATATATATATATATAATATGTTTGAAGGCTAACTTGTTAGCCTGGATTTGTGGGAGGAGTCTGAGCCCACACAGGCTTCTTAAGCCCATCACGGAGGCTTCTTGGGACGTGAGGCGTTCAACGTGAGGTCGTGGTGGTGTTTCCTAGCTGTCGAGTCGTCATTTCCGGTCGAAGCCACGTCACGTCCGGAGCTTCGGACGCATGTCAGGTATCTCTCTGCCATCAGGCGGCTGCCCTCTGTCACACTGCGTGCTTTATTTTTCATACAGGAACGGGTACATCAGCGCAAATAGCGGAAGCTACGAACGGCGAGGCATCTGCTTCTTCACAGGCACACTGAGGTCAACAGGTACCATATATGTTTTAAAAAAGTTCGGCCAGGTTAGGTGGTAGGTAGTGTTTTTGGCACTTTTCATGGCACTTAGATTGTCCAAACTGCAAGGTCACTTGTGTTTCTGTCATGCTTGCTAATCCTCTCCATATCCCATCCTCATTTGGTTCCCAAATGTAACTTTTTTTTAATAGTAGCACATGCCCTCTTGATAACCTGCTTGAC